TGAGATGAGCTTTGAGAAACATTAGGGCGTTGATCGTTGAATCACTCATTCTTTTTCTCAGTAGTGTTGAAACTTGAACCATTAACAGAGCAAAGCTTGGCGATCATGTCATTAAGTGGATCAGTAGTTGGTGCAGGGTTAGCTTTAAGGAATTTGGATATCGGTGGATTTCACCTGGCCTCCGGAGCATTTACTTTGTTGCGGAGTACTTTATGGTGCTCTGAATTTGAATGCACAAGTACTTCTTTTGTGGATGATCTTTTTGCTTTCATCGCACAGTTTACATTTATTTTGGAAAGAAAATATTCCCAACAAGGAGAATGATTACCGTTTTCGTCATGTTTTTGAATGTATCCGGGTGAACATGCACTGAGACACATTCTAAGAATTGATGGACCGTAATAAACGAATGATAAATACGAAACAAGAGTGATGACGTTGTGAACGTGTTGATCACTGTTTCGTGAAAAAGAAAGCCGAGATGAGTTATTATACAATGATTCACCCTTCTATTTGCTAATAAGCAGCACATATTACTGCACATAAATGAGCTCAAAGTGATTAATGCGTGTTTCGAGATGGGTATATCACTAAAATCACACAAAATGCATTTTCTTTTATCAGATCCCGAAATCCCGCGATTTTTGGGATCTATCGCAACTATAGCGAAAAACCGGCATGAACAGACGATGAGGATGAAGAGAAGAGAGTACGTGAATAGAATTGAAATGAGCGTCGCGTGAAAATTTCAGGCTTTTTTTAAAAGCTTGAGTTCCGGGATTGGGATTCAGCAATCGGAATCCCGCGAGAACGTTGTTTTTTTTAAGCAGGTTTTGTATCTAATCTCAGAAACTGCCAGTAATTAATTTTCGCACTGTTGCTGAAATGTTATGCTCGTATCGATGCAAACTGTTTACGAGTTTCCCTTTGAATTGATCCTCAGACGAAGAAAAGCAGGTCAAGAGATCTTTGATGAATTGATTTGTTGCAAAGTCACTAATGAGAAGGAACTTCTCCAGTCAGGTGAGTAAAATATTTTCGATTGTAGATCATATGCACACTTCTATCATTTCTTCTTTGAACAAGAAGGCGCAATTGCGAAAAGTTGCAAATTCTGTACTGAAATAATAAGGGTATATTCAAGGAACAAAGAAAGAAGCGATATCAATCCTCTCATCCTGCCAGAAAATATCAAAACAGAGAATTTACGCATATCTTGAAGTGATTGCGCAAAACTTTAGTTGCACTGATGTGATGAAATTTTCATGATAACTAAAAATATACAGGTATCTAGCGTAGCGTTTTGAAGGATGTATGCTGATTGGAGGGCATGTCGCAGACGAAACTGCTATGGAACGAAACTCGTTAGCAGTGCTACACTCGACGCCTTATCAGTAACGTTATTTTCTACCATATCGCTACCATTCATCTCCTTTTTTCATGCTTTCAACTCTGCACTGCATTCATTTCGAAATAGACAACAAGCTGTTCCTTCTCAACCACCTTAGCATACAATCTCGTCGAGTAGTTTGTTATACCTTGCCTATCTATTATTTGTTTATAAGATAACGAAACAAGAAAATGGTTACCATTGTGAACTATTTCAAGACTTTTATCATTGAGCATAAAAAATACCATCTTCCTGAGCGTTGTTTCCAGATCGATTATCAGTGCTGAAAGCTGATAGAGAATCTTTACTACACCAACCGTCTTCCCAAAAATGCCTTCTTATCTGTTGGAGTGTATTAATTGCATTTTTCGGTTGTTCCCATATGATAGAAGCAATGTCGTAGAAAGTTGTCCGAAAATTTTTTACATTGAGCGTTTTGTCCCTTAAAGCGTTTCTGATTCTTTTGTATTGTTGCTTCATATTTCAGATAGTGAGAGGAATGTAAAATACATCTTAATGTTAACACGCCGTCCATCCTCATTTAAACGTTCAGATTCATCAGCACCTTCGGCAGTGACAAAGACTTATGGTGATAATCATATAAAACGATGGTTGGCTTATAGATATCTTTTTAAGGAGCAAATTTCATAGCATTGCCTGCGTTTTGATGGAATGTTTCTGATTCATCACAAATGCAAGCAAACATCGTTGTTCATGCTCAGAATTATTGCTTGAGTTCAGCAATCGCAGTGTTTCCATGTTTTTGGCGGTGATAATATTTGCTAAATTGCATATAGCAACTCTTTACTGGCTCGATGATAAGTTCCATGCAAACTTCTGATGGGAGTAGTTGTCACTTATAGATATTTATTAACTGAGCTTTTTTTCGGAGATGCATTTGATTGTTGGGCACATGATTGTGTGATTCCATCTAGTTTTCTCAAACGCTTCCTGTGTGCAGTGAATTTCACGTCCAGTTATATTGCGCCGTACCAGCGGGAGTGATGAACGTAACACATGATTTGCTCCGTCGGGTAACAGTGACTTTTCATATATTGAAAGGATGAAAGTGATTGTGTCGCTTTAGGCTAAACTCTCATACGTTGCAGTTGCTCACTTGATTTGTTGCATTATTGCAGGAGTCGAATGGGTCCCATTTACGAAGGCTTTTTACACGTATATCGTGGTAGACTCTTTGCGGTATGTTAATTTTTCACCGAATTACTGGCAAAATCAATGATGATATGCTCTTACAACTCAACAAACAGTGTCAACTGATAGTCACATAGACACGTCAGTAGCAGTTAACCATCGCAACTGTACCAATGATTATCTATATCATCTCAATTTTCTTATCAAGGCAATCAGAAAATAACCAGGGAATTTTGCTTGTAGAAGTGGAGACGTTTTATGGGTGCAGTATTTGACGAAAATTCAACTGGTCACGCTAGACTTGAATTGTACGGTTCCGATAAACAATTATCAACGGTCAATCCTGCCAGAGTGGTACTCTTATCTGAATGTATTGCCATTAGAATCGTTACATTCGAGAGTGAGTTGCTGTTAGCCTATTAATTACTTTCTTTTAGCTGTCTCCTGAGAGCTACAGTGTATGAAACGAAACATGATCAGTTCAGTTTTTATATCGAGACAATTAGCAAATTATCAAATTGAAAATCAATCCATTAATTTGCCAATTAATTTAATTCTTTCTCTATTTCTTTAATGAAAGATAACGATTGTTAATGATTGTCATATTGACGAATATTCCACCGCATTGTTAACAACTCATGTAAATGCTATTAACAATCATTTAAACATAAATTTCCCATTTCGTCAGTGTTTTCACATTTTAAAAAAAAGAATTGTAAGAAGAGAACATATTTGGAGAATGTTTCATATTCCAACCTCAGATTGTATTTCAAAAAGTTGTGTTGACGAGCCGAACGAAACTCTAACCATAACCAATTTCGCTAATTTAGTCTGATCACATCCAAGGCTCTACGCAGATCATAGTGTTCCCACCAGCCAACTTCAGCTTAACATTAAACACATTGTTTTATGTATTTTGCATTCTTGATCGAACCTGATTAAGTTTGCCATTGAACGAACCTTAAATTAATCACAATCTGAAGCCATTCAGTCTCTTAATCCGTTTCAGAAAACGAACGCGTTATTCAAATTCAGCAAAAAACAGCACCAGTAATGTTGATCATCTCTGAAGACATTGAGAAATGGCACGAAATTCTTTGTAGAGTCGCTTTCCCGAATCAGGTGGAATTATCTTTGAAATTTTTTGTTAAGTGCCCGTTGTTTACAATCGTCTGCTCTAGCTTGAACAGAATGATGCGTTTTCAAAATGATAATACGCACTATTAAATAATGAAAATGATGAATTAAATGTACTTCTCGCTGTCAGTACCGACCGAGTTAATTTAAAGCTATCCTAAGGCTATCTTGTTCAGTTCGTTGCGATCGGAACACAGCCATGCTCGTCGGTTTCACCATGTTACAGTGGCGACTATTCAATCCCAGCCGACGGTATGTTTTATTGCAGTGAGCACATCAATGACGTATTCGTTATAACACCAGTCATTTGGACATCGAAGAGAAGTATTGGATTCATATTTGTAATCCAGCAATTTCACGTTAATGCTGTTAAGTTAAATGCTGAGGAAGTGGGCCAATTCGAAATCGACGTTCTTATCGAACGAATCAGTTTATATCTCGTTAATTCCTTCATTTTCAACAAAATGAATTACAATCTTTTCGATGCTACTTCTTTCGCCGTGACCTTTTCTTGGAGCATTAGTGATAATAATTTACAAGTAGAAAATATTCACTCGTTTTGCTCTCCGATATGTCTCGTTTTTCTAAATAGAAATTTATAATGATTACAGTGAGACGAATCCCAGTGGTATTACAATGTATAAGTGGGACCAGTCGTCCTCAACTTTCAGAAGGCAATTATGACATGTACTTGAATCAGTCATTAGTGATCACCAGCGGAATGCATTCGGTTACATGGGATTACTTACAAATCACTTGGTGAGTCGTAATGCACGCTGTAAATATGAGCATTTGTTGTGAACTTGTTGATCACTGTTTCGTTATGCCGAGATGCGTTATTATACAATGATTCACCCTTCTATTTGCTAATAAGCAGCACATATTACTGCACATACATGAGCTCAAAGTGATTAATGCGTGTTTCGAGATGGGTATATCACCAAAATCACACAAAATGCATCCTTTATCAGATCCCGAAATCCCACGATTTTTGGGATCTATCGCAACTATAGCGAAAAACCGGCATGAACAGACGATGAGGATGGAGAGAAGAGAGTACGTAAATAGAATTGAATTGAGCGTATGATGGGCCGATCGTGTGCTTGGGTCACGCTGGACTTTGAGAATCCCATCAGATCAGAGGGTGTGTGTTCGATTTCGCGTCGGTCCAAAATCACTGTTGAATTTCGATGCCATTGCCAGAGAAATTTGAAAAAAAAGTGAAAACGAAGAAGGCTCAGTTTCGACAGAACCTCAATCCAGGATGGTGATTCAAAAGTCGGTATTCCGAAATGCGGTGCGAACTCTAATCGTAATGCATATTGAATTATCTCGGGAGGAAATTTGTAATTAATTAAATTGCTATCCCAAATAAAACGAAACAGTCATAAAGCTGCATGAAATGACTTCCGTTTGACTGAATGCAACGTCTGTTCTCTTGTTTTGTACTGAAATGTATTGTGTTTCTGCAGGTTTGCAACTGGTGACAACTGTTTTGCATTTGAAATCGCCAAAGAAGGTCGATATGAGTTCACGTCTTCGCAACCAATGGTTCCACTTCATGCGTTGCGCTGTCATATAAGTCTCACGAATATCACCACTCCACCGCGCTTCCTCACTAAAAATCGTTACAATTATTTCTACATTCCATCTTCAGCAATAAGAAGCGAGTAAGCGATTTCTCTAAAACTCCGATTAAATTTCATCAATAACTTTTCAAGAATTCAGCAACAATCATCCTTGCACTCTTCTTTTCATGTGATTTCAAGACTGCAACACTTGTTTATGAATTATTTGTGTTATTATTTGTGACACTAGCTCTTCATAATCTTCAATGAAAGATGAAACATTTATTCATCTCAATTTTTTGCCTAACTGAATCAATTTGAACTGCTAGTTGCATTAGTTGTCTTGAAACGGAACTGCTCGATCACGTGCGCTCTTTCAAAAGTTGTATTTTACCCTTTCAAACTTTTTGCTCTAAGAGTGCTTACAATAACTCAACACTATTGTTTAGCTCAATTAGCAGTCGCCCAAATTTCGCTCAGTCCGAACAACAGAATTCTCCTAAATCACGGGGCCAACCACTGCCGTCATCCATTGCTAGCGGCTACGACATCAATACACACTTGATGAATCAACAGTCGAATTTTGAATCGCACAGAACATCAAAATTACCGTTCTTTCATCGTCATCCGGATCATAGCAATTGGTATGAACGTGCTGATTTCGAGATGAATGCCGATGACGAATGGATCAGGTAGGTTAAGAGAGAACCCCGTTCCTTGTTCTTCTTCGAGAAAGGTTCGGTGTCCAGATGCTTCCGTTTGCATCGAGATAGAATGTGTTTTCTTCTTAACCACTGGTGTGTATAAATTACATGTTAAGGGTGAAAAATGATGAGGATGAAAGCAGAGCTATCGGGTGGGAAAGTTCACAGAGCGCAGTGCAAATTACGAAACCAATGGAGCTGAAAATGCATCTGAATGACCTGATCGCCACAAATAAGGCTAGTTTTTACTTTTGCCACCTTGAATGCTGTTCAATCGCAGATGATGAGCAAAATAGAAGCAATGGCACGATTAATGAGTGATGCTTCTGTTCCTTTTGATTGTTCCATCGATGTTCTGTTCCTAGGAGTGGAACGGTCGCGAAAAATAACATGCATAACAAACAGTTGGACAGGACAGAGCAGCAAAGTTTCAAGAAAGGGGGACAGAACAGCTTTCAGAAAAGTGAAAGTGCAGAACAGGACACTTGAAGAGCGGAACAAAACAGCTTACCAAAAGTATGAAACAGAAACGTCACTAAACACGATATATTATTTGTGTATGAGAGAGCAGTTTATTCGTTGAATACGGGCCCACAATCTTTAAACTGCAATTAGTTTGCAGTATCATTATTTAAAACATTGATCCGTGCAATAACATACATGAAATTTTGCTGTTGAAATTGATCGGCATTCAGGATGCTGAATTGCACGAAATTATTGACAGGAACTTGTAGCAAAAAGAAGGAATTTACGAAGCACAATGAGCATTTGAATGTTTCATTCTGAAATGGTTTTTTTCAGCGATGGCTTTAAATCAGTCGTAAATATCTTAAGTGTGTTAATAACTTAGTCACGTGAACATTTAATAGCATCTTATTTTCTTACGGTAATATGCTTGAAAGAGATACATACGTGTTTTGGTTTAGAACCATTATCCGAAATTCTTCACAATTTCGTTGCTTCTCTAGGTGCTTCAACTCGCTCAACTAGACGAATCATCACCACAGCCGATGTCACCAAAAGGAATCAACGATATTCTTCCAAACGATCGTGCCGTACCAATCAATACTCTAAGTAATGACTTGACCAGTGACACTTTTGCAACTCCTCCCAAACTGGGCTATAAAGCCCCAAATTTTGAGCCTCCCGTCATTCAGCCACGTCAGCGTAAACATTGATTCTAAATCATCAATACTGTTCTATGATTTACAGCTCATGGACAGACGGAGTAGAAATCACGAATAAATATTTTGAAAATAGATTTTGCAATAATTAATTGAAGAATTCTTCCTTGCTGTACCAAAATAAAAAGATTTTGATGTTATAATCCACTTACTAACATTGATGAGCAAGTTACAGAGATATTTTCTTTAATTAACTATAGCAATGATTTTGATGTTAAGTGTGCATTATGGATTTGTACTTGAAAGAATCTAAGTGGATTAGGGGTTTTGCTCCTTATTAATTTCATTTATGAAGTTGGTTCGGTCAGTATGAGATTCATTTACACCTAGAAAGGCCATGCCTCTGTTGTCACGATGAAATTCGTTGAAAATCATGACAGGAGAACGTATTTTCAAATGAAGTCTTGTGTTTATGGAACGTGCATGTATATTTGCACAACTATCGCTTCAATTTTGTACTTTATGTACTGCTACCTTGTTAAATAAATTTCTTGGCATGACTGAATCTGCAAAACGAACACATCTGAAAAGGGAAGCTTCGAAACAATCAACGTCGCATTGCAGCAAACACTATTTTCTAGTAAACATTTTTTGCTAATAGATGCACGCTCGTTAAAAGTTCTGCTGATTGCACCGATATTTAACTGTTCATTTTATCTTCTGTTAAATTTCAATTTGAGCAAATACTTGACGACCGATTCTATATATTTCATATTCATAGTTAATTACTGAAGAACTATGCACAGTTTTTCTTGCCTTCATCGTATCAGTAACAACAGACTTTTGAAGAGGATGAGACTGATAGAAAAATTGAAAATCAAAATAAAAAATAAAATTCGAGAAAGTAATAGGTCCAAAAAATACAGTGACGTAAAAAATAGCAAATACTGCGAACATGGTGTCGTACATTTAACTAAAACACCGAAAGGAACAATAAAAGCGCTTTGATTTTGGATTCCCTAATGGGCGATTCATCATGGAAGGGGTTGAAATGTTGAGCATTTTAGAAGCGTTAATCTTTGAGCCACATAAAAATTATGATGATCGTGTTATCAGCATTTTCCATACTCAGTTCTTAAGCTTCAGTTAATGTCAACGAGATGTTCCATCTGAATGCAATCAATGAAAGGTAAATCCAGTACCAGATTAAAATGAAATCTCTTGAATTATCGAATTTTCTCGGACATTATCACGTGGGTTATCCAGGTTAAGCTATTATTTTGTAACAGGAAAGCTGACGGTACGCGATTATTCGCCGGAAGGATGAAACTATAGCGAATTGAATCATTGATAATTTGAGACAAATAGTACTGTAAGAATCTCTATCCAGCTTTCTCAAATTTCATTTGAAAATCGAACTATTGCCAATTTGGCCACTCATTATTTGTCTTTAAAACGATTTTTGATAGTGATTAACTAAAACTGTGGATAAGTTGTAATGTTGAGGGTTGATAGCTGATTGTAAAAATATTCAGTTTAAATATCACGGTAGCGATACGTTAAACTGAGGTTAGGAGAGAACTACTAGGAAGAGCACGTAATACCAGGATTTGTTCAGGTAAGTAAAAACTGATAGATAGAAAACGTTGAATGTTACTAGATATGATAGAAAAATAATACATTTAACCTCCATTGGCATAGGAACTTTTGCGAAGCTTTCATCAAAAACATTTGAATGAAGAGGGAAATTTCCGACAATCGAGGTTTGCAGAACAATTATGGTTGTTTTTTCAACATTTAGATTTGAGTATATTGCATATCAGTACACGCAACCATTCTTCTGCATCTTGTGTTCTCTTTTTTCTGAGATCTTTCTCTTTATCCTAAAGTCCTTCGACAAATTTCCTTAGATATTCTAGAATCAATTTCATTGGTCTCTCCAGTTGGAATAATCTGTTTGTAGTCATCGCTCTCTGCTGAATATTACATCTCGTTCCGTCACGAATATTCTCGATGAAATACAAGTTTTCTGCTACTGTCAAATAAATTTATTCTCTCGTTGGAACTCACCATCAGTAAGCAGTTTCAAATGCTAATAAACTGTTGATTATTGAAACAGTTACACAATAATTTAGTTCCTCGTTCTTATTGCATTTTACTTCATCACAAAAATTAAATTTCCCTTTTTCTTGGTTAGTTAACATTAGATAAGCGATTCTTATAAATCCCATTTGTTAATAAATCAGACTTTTGATGATTTTGAATGAATATGATGATGATATGATTGCTTCAGAAGCTGTATTTTTTTATTCATTCAATCGACAGTCATCCCTGGCAGTAAATTAATTTAGCTATTGATCTGCATTTCGCAAGTGCAGTCCGTCAGTCAATCAGTTCATTGCATAGCTGATTAGTGCCAACGACATAAACTCAATTAATAGACGCTTCAGTGTAATATTCATTCGAAACAGTTCATAAAAACTTTTGCACCAACTAATTTGCAGCTGTTGAACGCTATCAGTTGAATTGATTTTCGCTAACAATAAGCGTACTAGAAGTATAAGAATTATCATCATATGGCTGGCCAAATTACTGCCTTCAATGTTCGATTTTTTTCTTCGTCTCACTACTGATTAACGCAAACTAGGTAAATATATTGATAAATAACTAATTGATCCGGATTCAATAATTGTACTGATAAATCGATGATGAATCGCATGATTTGTTGATAAAGTTTATCGATAATTCATTGGTGAGTATCGTTTATTCGACGTTCATAAGCATTTTAAAGACGATGTGATTTTTTTTTTGGAATTGCATTTGCGAACATTAAAATGAATAGTGACTTTTAAAACAGATAATGATGATCGCAGTGTTATGTTTTCAAAAATTTTTTGATCTTTCCAGAAAATCACCGATTTGCTCAGATTAAATGAGCGCATATACCCACTCTGGTTCGAGTGTATTATTTTCGGAACTCCACTTAACTAGCTCCCACTGATGAACCATAGAGCCACTTAACTCCATTAATAAATGATCCGACATCGTATATACATGCTTTATGGGATGAGTATTATTTGCTACTAGTGATTTCGCTTCCGTTTATAAAAGAACGAGATATCACAGAATCGATTGTGATCCAATTTTCTACCATATTTATCGAAGAACATTATTTTTCAAAGACTGATTCGTCTCTTTGGGAACCTATCCATTATGAACTCGAAAAGCAAGTCAACGACATGTGGAAAATCAATTTTCTGGCTCATCCGTGATGCTCTTCATGCGCACATCGCTGCTATACCAAACTTTCATGTATTATGAATGAGATAGAAGAGCAGCGATTTCATGATAAGAAAGTGAGGAGAACAGAGAACAAGTAACAATTGCGTGTGCATGCATTTGCAGTAATGACAGTGCGAATCGATTGGTTGGGTGCTGGCTTGGTTAGAAGGCGATAAATTCAGTTGAGTGAAAGATTTTATGAGTTGTTCATTTGTGATGTGCAATGAAAGAAAGGAAAATAGCCATATTCCTTACTGATATGAGACTGGGACACATACTGCACGCTAATCATCTTAATTTTATTTCCTTCTTTTGGCTCGTTTCAATACTGATGCCATTTCCTCTTTTTATTACGCTAATTCATTTTTTCCATATTATCTTTCTTGCTGATGGATGACTAGATGGATATATGGATTGTTTGTTTCGCTTCTTCATTCTGTCTGAGCTTCAAAAATTTATCGATTTGATGTGCTCATAAGATGAAAATATTATGTTTGTGTTGTTATTTGTTCGAATGCTATCGTTACTGGTATGCGTCAGTGCTCTGTATTGCTTTTAAAATTTCCTAAAATATTCTTTCAATTTG